CAACTCAATGTGAAATGAATGCACATGTAAACACCTAAAGCCAACAACTCTATCATGGATAATCAATAGTGTCGGTGACCAAGAATCGAGGCACGTTTCGTCACTTTGAGTACGAAACGTCCCTTGTTTCCTGTGTTTGGACTAAACCCTACTCCAAACACAATGCAACAAACAATGTATGGACAAATGCAACTCTAGCATGCGATCTAAATGCAATGCAACTAAGTGATACGAAGATGCACAGAGTGACATGCAAGCATGCAAATGGCATACACAATGCTATGAACTAATCAATGGCATGCTCAATGCACATGGATTATATGGCATGCATACACAATGCACTAACATACACAATGTTATGAGCAAGGCATACGCAATGCAATGATCAAACATGCGAAAACATGGACTATAGGGCATACACAATGCAAGATAGACTTAAACCAAGATGGATGAGCCTCGGCCACACCCAAATCAGTGGCCAATATGATGAAAATGAGGCAACAAGGTACATGCAAACATGCACAAATACAAGGGACCAAACCTAAGGAACAAAGTGCAACTCTACCAAAGCATAACAAGGATAAAATATGGCATACAATGACACATGTTCCAGCTCTGAAATGACATACAAGATGGTTCCAAATCATGCAAACAACTCACTCGATGCATGTTGGATGGCACAATTACCGAAACTAGTGAAGTGCATTACACTAGAGGTATGCAAAGTGATGCCCAAATGACCAAATCAACCCCAAACAGTCCCTATACAGACCCAAAACAGTGGCAAAATTGACTAAAATGATGGCTTGCAATGCACAAAAATGAAGCTCATGCAATGGCCTAAAAATGAGGCATACAAGCACAACTCTCAAACGTATTGAAGGAGTGATGAACATGAGAATATGGAAACCTTATATGCTCTGAATATTATACTGGATGATGCCAAGACATGTCAAGGGTCTAAACAACGCATGCTAGTGGACCCGATATGCAAAGCTATCAAAACTCGAAGCTAGGCAAGGGTATTACACTACAAGCATGCATGGCAAGCATCATTCAACCATGGGACCTCAAAAAAAAGCTAAGGCAGCCCAAATCATGAATAAAATTAGTTTAGAGCATGGCCAAAATATGCTAGAATCAAGGGCCAAAACAACATGCAATGTGAGCTAGCGAACATGGATTACACTACAAGCATATGATGCATTCAAGAGGCCACTAAACCAGAAAAATTCAGAGACATGGCATGCCAAATAAAGCCTAAAAACCCACTGAAACATGATCAATGCATGCAAGAATGACATGCTCCTTTGATAGGCTATAAGAGGGGTTATTCTACACATGCAAGAGACACACCCAAGGTGACAAAACCAACTCTGGATAGAGCCTAGGAAGGCCCTAAAAGTCACGGAAAAGGGCCTGAAACAAGGTTTGGAGGTGTGCAAATGAAGGCTCCTTTGTAAGGCCAAAAATGCTAATGAACAAGACAAGGAGGGAGAGGGTCACCGCTCTCTGATTTTGGCTCTCAAAAACACATGTTAAACACTAAAAATCAGCTGAATTTTAGTGGTTAAAAGGCCAAGCAAAGGTCAACACAAAGGCCTTAGGGCATGGCTCAAAACAAGGCAAAATGAAGCATGCAAGGGGGTAGATGACCCCCAACAACAAAATGACCTTAAACAAACATCAAAAGGACCTCAAAAAAAGATTTTTTTTAGTTGACAACAAAGCTCAAATATGCATGAAAATAAGGCTAAGAGATGGATCAAAATAAAGCTTAAAAGAGGGAAAAGGTGTGTTACCCTTGAAGCTCAGCAAGACAGCAACTTCTGGACCCAAAACCCTACTCCTTAACCTCTGAAAATGGCCTCCAAGAAGCTCCAAGAAATGGTGGAAGGGTTAGGATATGAGGTGGTGTGCAAAGGTGCAAGAACAATGCACTTTTTGAGCCAAAATAGAGATATATAGAGGGAGATTTATTGTATTTGCCTTCGAGGAAATCTGAACCTGTGCCAAGGAAGAGGAGGGCCTCTCTTATAGAGATACAACGCTAAAGCTTCTTTAAGAAGCTAAAAACCAAGGCTCAAGATCCTCCATACACGTGTATGGAGGATACAAACTGTGCCTTCCAGCTGGCACACACTCACGGAGACAAGACTAGGGGAGGCAGGCCGACCAGTTCAGGTGGTCGGCTGACCACTTCCCCTGGTCGGCCGACCAGTTCAAAAAGATCAACCCAATAAAAGGTGGTCGGCAGCCTCATTTGGTGGTCTCCACATCGAATGCAAGCTAGTGGTATGGTGCGAGACCAGTAAATGTGGCTCAAAGACCAAGGAGACTAGCTTCCCGACAAGAAAATTGGCTGGCTGGAGAAAAGTGGTCTCCAAGGAGAAAAGGTGATCTCCCACCCTTGTACCACCTCCCAAACAATGAAAACAAGGTCCATGCCAAAAATGAACCAAGACAGATGCAAAACGAGGGTTCGGGGGTCAAAACGCACAGCCGAGTGCCCCGAAAACAGGCTGTCAAGCAACGAAAGTGGCGTGCGACCACAAAGGTGGTCTCTCGGGCCACAGTGTCCCTCTAGAGAGAGGAAGCAAGGTGTGTGCTAAAAACCGTGCCAAACGGAGAAAGTTAAGCGATCCCGAACCGAGGCGCACGACCGACGACTCTGAAAATTGAAAACTGGTCTCCAAACGGGAAAAGTGGCCTACGACCACGAAAAGTAACCTACAGCCACTGAGAGATGGTCTACAAGACCTCTCCCTCCCTTCGAGAAGAGAAAACAAGACTCAGTTCGCAAACTAAGGCAAAGCACAAAAGGGTCCCGAGGTCTGGGAGTAAGGCTCTCAGCCGAAACTCTGAAATCTCAGAACGAGCACAATAAGCACCATCACCGAGCACTCAATCGATGACATCTGAGTCTTAAGGTCGGTCACAAATAGGGTGTCTATAGAAAAATATTTGCAAAACACACTTGTGGCCGGCAGGCCACTACTGGTGGCCGACAACCAGAAGCAGTGGCCGATAGCCAATAGAAAGGGCCGGCAGGCCACAAGAGGTTACAGGCTTGAAAATCTCTAGTTTTGGTCCAAAAATAAGGCAACAGGTGTGTAGGGTTTGAAGGCTCAAAGCTGTGGCATTTCATTGAGAACTTCAATCACTTGACAAGCATAAACACTCATCATTGGGTGTGCAAGTGGTGACGTCCAAGTTTAAGGGCGGTAAAAAATGGGGTGTCTATGGGTACCCCTTTTGACCATATCGACCTAGTGCATGTAGTGAGCTCTAGTGACCTTTCAAACTAGGGTAGGATGCTCTCCTATTTTTCAGGATATTGTGATACCGCTTGTTTGAATAGTAAAACTGTAGATCACTTTAAAGCTAGGACATGGAAACGCTAACCTCTCATTTGAATGCTTTTGGGCAAAATGTGAAATCTTTGGAAATGTGTGATGCAATCCTATGAGAGTCTTAATCTTGAGGCGATTGCTTTTAAAACTTGAGGGTCATATCAGAATCAAAATTTGGGTCAAAATCCAGGGGTTTGTGTTTGATATGGGTGAATTTTCAGCAAGATCAGAACTAAGGCCAAAAATCACATCTTGCTTTGTTTTGGTTGGCATACCTAGTACCCTAATTTGATGGGGCATCTGTTTTTAATGCTAGGTTTGTTGAGCCAAAGAATGAGCAGTACCCAACTCAGCAAAGGCCAAGCCCAATCCAACCCGGAAAGCCTTAATGTCATGACCCAAACCCACCTGTGATAACCCAACTCGTAATATACTTAATTATGCATGTGATTATGCGTTTGATATGAATTTGTATTTTTAATTATGTGAGTTATTATGTGATTATGAATTTATATCTATTAAGTGTAGAAAAAATCTATTGCAATTGGAACCTTGAACTGAAAATTTATAGCCTTAGAGACACCAGAAACCAAAACCGATTTCATATCTATGTTTAGCATGATTTTTAGAGCCTACGGTGAAATTTCGCAAAATTACGATTCGTAATGAATTAATTGAGTTTAATTAGCATAAACCTTAGATTAAGCCAACCTCATCATGTATAGGATTTTATGTTTAATTGATTAAGGAGATTTGGATTCTAATTGGTAATTACTCTAATGTAATTTGGGATTTATGAGAATTTTGGAGTCTGATTCGCATTTGATTTTAATAACAATTTATTTTGGAATTAGAAATTAAGGTTCAAATGGCTTAAGGAAATGAAATTAATTAGTTTAATTTTAAATACGGACCCATTTGGGAGTTTAATTAATACTCGATTCAGTTTAGTAAAATTGAGATTTTATTAATTGGGTCCGAATTGGAGTCGATTAAGTTATGAATATTGGGAATTAAGATTATTATGAATTAAAATTTATTTATGAGATGTTCAATTGAATGTGTAAATTATTAACAATGATTTTAGGTTTGATTTGAAATTGAAGGCCTTAGTGATTTACGAAACCAATATTGATGATGATAATAAGTTTAATTTGATACTTGGAGCTTTTTGGGGTATTGATTAAAAATCTGATTCAGATTGATAAATTTAGTTATGATTGATTGGGCCTTAATTGAAGTCAACTAGGCTAATTGAGTTATATTGGAATTCACCAATCAAGATTAAACATGATTAATTGTGATTTAATTAAACTAATTATGTAATTGAGAGTTAGATTAATCCTACCCACACGATTAATTGCGAAGTTGTGTGCCAACGTATTTTATATTGATCAATTCATAAAATAAAAAGGAGCTGGAGCCTTGCATATGTGTGTATATTATGTTTGTGTTAAAGTCAAGAGTGGGTGTATAAAGAAAACTGGTGGGTGTGCAGAGAAATCTGGTGGGTGTGTGTAGGTGTTGTACTGGAGGCTTAAAACAAGGTGCACGTATGCATTATGGTCAGCAAAAGGAGTGTATGTGTTTGTATGTGTTGAAGAGTCTAAGTGAGACTCATTTGGGTTCATATAACAAGGACAAGTGTCCCACTAAGTAAAATAAAATAAGCAGAAAAGAAAAGAAAAGAAGAAAGAAGGAAATCAGAAAGAAAGGGATGTAAGTGTGCTGGAAACAGCCGAAGGAAAGAAGGAGAAACCAACAGAGAGAGGGAGAGAGAGAGAGAGGAAGGAGGAGAAAGAAAGAGTTCAGCAGTGCTGGAGAATCCAAGTTAAAGGAAAGGAATACGAGAAGAGAGGTAATGAGAGAAAGGAAAAGCTCAAGAATTTCAGCCCATTAAAGTTTAAGGTATGACATTAAATTAGATTCATAATTATGAAAATTAATTTAGAAATTAATTATTTTGGGTTGGATTTAGGAATATCATGCATGAATTGAGTCTAATTTCTACATGCATGGACAAATCCTACAAGTCTTAGTACTCTAATTGTACATGCATCATAGATTTGAATTAAAGAAGTTTATGAGCAAATGAGTTCAATTTTTAAATTAAAGGAGTTTTGATGTAAATGGTTTAAAATTGATCATATTTTCTTAATTAATTAAGAGTTTGTGTGGTTTTAGACAAGCCATGTATGAACCTAAGTTTTGAGTTTATATTTTGAAAGTTCAATTCATGTTTTAGAATTTGAGTTTGAAATTGGGCTTGATATGAAGAAAAATGAATTAAACTTAAATTTGGAAATGAATTATAATTTATATTTGAAAATTAAAAATTAGTTTGATTTTGGTTTAAATTTCATACATGCAAATATTTTTGAAAGGGCTTTATAGCTTCAATTTATGTTTCATAAAATAAAGAAAGAATTGAAAGATGATTTTTGAAACATGGAGAATTTGGCACCAAATCACACATACATACATAATTTTGTTGAATCTCATGAATTTGAGTGTCATTTATACCATTTGAGATGAAATTAGAGTCTACATTTCACATGCATAATCCATGAAAATATAGAATTCATGTGCATGAGTTTTGAAGTTATAGAAATGAATCTAAAATAATTTGGGCTTGTATGATGAATCCTTGGAGATTTGAGCTTCAAATCTTGTAAAATTGGCATTATGTCATGTTAGAAGTTGTATGGTTGACATATAGAACAAAACATGTAAGTTGTATCATTTAAAGTTGTGTTTTGAAGTTTAAACAACATTCTGGAAAACCCAAAATTCGTCATTATCGCTCGAAGAATGCAAGCAACCAGTATTTTTGCAGACCAAGGGGTCCGCTCGAGCGACCAATGTTGCGCTTGAGCGAAAAGCCATGTTTTAGAAAATTTTGAAAAGCTGTTTCATGTACCAATTTTCGTTCTCTTTTATTTCTAAGCACTCTTAGGCATACATTAAGCATTATAAATGAATTGAAAGAGTAAGAAAGAAGCATAAGAGAATTAAACAAGTTAAGAACGAAATGAATTGTATTGTGACCCGATTTCTATGTGTATTATGAATTGTGTAGGGTCAACTACAAGGGTGAACCAGGCATCTGAACACTGTGAGTAATATCTTAGTAAAGATATTTTCAAGTATGTTATTTTCCAAATGCTACTTCTGTATAAGCTTCATGGATTTGTTGATTTGAATTACGAATGAGTATTCTATATGCCTAATTTTTGTGTAAGACTCTGTGAAGAACATGATTTGGGTCCAAGGCCGTTTGATATGCGAGAAGAGTATGAATTGGGCCTGAGGCTGTTTGATGCGTTTGATATGTCTAAATTGGACCTAAGGCCGTTTCCCGTTTAATAAATAGGTCAAAGGCCGTTTGAATATTATGATGGGCCAAAGGTCGTTTGAATAATATGTGATGGGCCCAAGGCAATCTGAATACGAATGTAATGGGCCAAAAGCCATTTGAATATTATGATGGGCCAAAGGCCGTTTGAATAATATGTGATGGGTGCAAGGCTGTCGGAATACGAATGCAACGGGCCAAAGGCCTTTTGAATATCGTGATGGGCCAAAGGCCATTTGAATATGAATGTAATGGGCCAAAGGCCGACTGAATAAAAAAGTTATCATGATCACGAATATGAATATGCACGTAGATATAAATATGAACATGGTTAGACAAGTACTTTGGACCCGAGGTTGTTTTGCCCTCTCTAATATGTCTTGAGCATAGGTCGTCCTGATTTTGATTTACATGTAATATGTATTAATGTGATTTACTTAATTAAGAATCTCATTCATACAACTTCTTTACTTTGGTATTATTCACTGGGCGTTAGCTCACTCTTTATATATATATATATATATATATGTAGGTGAGCAATTGGAGGATGAACATTAGAGTTTGCCCCGGAGTCTACCTCTTTGTCAAGCCACCCAAGAAGTACCTCTATGTAGAGGCTTTATTTTATTTTGTCAGGCTTGAGTTAATCTTTGTGTTTTGTTAAAAGTCCTCCATGTAGTGTGTGAGATATGTTATAAAATATGCCTTCGTACATGTATATATAAAAGTGTGTTTAAAATGTTTTAATTACTACAGTTGATTATGTATGCACAACTCAATGGACATTATTATTTTTGTTTTGCTTCCGCTTCAGGCCCCAATTATATTTAAATGTTTTGAATTTTGTCTTGAGGCCGTAGGTAATCTTCGGATTATTGGCCGGTTACGACGCTAAACCTATAGGGGCGGGTTTGGGTCGTGACACCGCCCCTAAAAGTTTAGATCATGACCGGCCAGTAACCTCTTAAGTACTTAAGACCTCAGATAGATTACAAAGAATTAATAATAACGGGGCGTGAGCGGAAGCAAATAAAATAACAGAACGTCCAATGAGCAATGCTTATATGCCAGGATTCTAAACATCATGTCATATACAGAAAGTTCACATACACAGTTCATACATACAAGTACGAGTCATGCAAGTATATACAAGGAGTTAGCAACCCCAAAATTACATATTAACCAGGTGTCTAAACAATAGTCACCAAAGACTTAACAAAATTTGCCAATACAGAAAATCCCCAAAAGACAGAGGTTTATCAAAGTAGGTTCACCAAAAATACTCTTGAAGCTGATCTAGGGCTGACCTCCGAGTTGGACACCTACATAAATATATAAATACAGAGTGAGCGAAGCTCAGTAAATAATAGTAAAGTAAAAAGAATCCAATAAGTAGGCTTGAATTAAATGAAGGCATGTGGTATAAGCCCAATATTTTTCCCAAGTGCAATATTCAGAGCATCCACCATAGTTACATTAAGCATAGCGTTATTCATAATCACATTTTCAGAACGGCCTCAGGCCCGACTTTTCGCGCTCCTTTCGGAAGGCGAATAGCCCTACAGTTTGGACTCCACTTGTGGTTCTGAATCTAATTTCACAAAGTGCGATGTGAAATAGTGAAAACATAAAAGAGTCCAAATTCGGCAATTCTTTTGAAAAATCGATGTTTGAATCAAATGCTAAAAAAAAAAATGGACTACTTTGCCAAATTTCAGAGTCACCACCTAAATATTTTTGAAAAATTTAGGAAACCCAAGACTCGTGTCAAATGTCATTAGTTCATCATCACTAAAGTGTCTCGGCTCGGGAACTTAGGTACGAGAGAGGAAGGTCATGAATTGAGCACCCCCCTCGCCCGATCAAAAATCGGCCTCTACTAATCATGATGTGTTTCTTATTTACATTATACGCTCTTGTTCTGATTATTAGCTATTTTTACTATGTGATGCACGTACATATATAGACTAGTTTGGAAGAATTGGAATGCTTGATCTCATGTTTTGTTTTGAAATTGTTTTGTGAATTTGCCACTTGAAAAAGTGGGCTAAAATGGACATTTAATCCAACCATCCCATTTCAGGCATCTAGCCTTCATCCACAGGCATTCAAGCAGTTATATCATTAAGCAATTAGCCTTATGGTATTTATGCTTTGGACATGGCAACACAAACATCCGATGCAAGATGCTAAAATGATAAAAGCTCACCTAGTACTCCGAGCCAAAAAGGTAAAAGAGTTAGTAAAAGGTGCATGTTCCTAATTTATGCAATATTGACTAATGCAACACACACATTATGTATTTTATAGGCTCGGCTATGAACATGACATATGATTTCATTCAAGATATGCGAGAGAGCACGTATTCAAGTAAATGAATTCGAACATTGATATCGGGTAAGCATGATGAGTTGAACCTTATATGCATGCAAGACCAATGGATGCGAAACATAAGAATGCTAATGAAACGTGATGCCTTATACTAACCATCATAAGCAAGTACGTAAAAGAGAGAAAGAAGTGGGGTTGGAAGATATACAACTTATTACAACATTGCCCTCGTGCAAAAGGGTGTGAATCAAAGTCCAAAAGTCCAATTTAATCTAATTAATACAAAACCGAATGAATGGATAAATAAGCAAGGCTAATTAACTAGCTAACTATGGTATTACAACAAGGATAACCAAGATAAATAAACTAGCTATCTAAGCTAATTAATTACAACAATTACGAATAAATAAAATAATAATTATAACAATTAATAATTAACGAGACTAATTACAATAAACAACATTAAATTAAATTAATTACAATGATCATAATGTAAGCAAGGATGCGCAAGGGTTGCATGCATGAACATGCACGATGTTCAAGAACAGCCCTGTCTGGCCCAAGCTTGCTCTGTCTCACCTCAACCATTTCCCTTTGTTTTCTGCAAAAATACACTATTAGCCAAACATTGAGGGCCAATCGGCCCTCAATGAAGCCCGCCGGGCCTAGAGAAGGCCGGTCGTGCCTCAATTTTGTGCAAAACACTGTTTTGTGTTTTGAAGTGAAAACAGTGCAGAAAGAGTTGTTCAAGCTTTGTTTGTCCCTTCTTTCCTTCTCTATCATGAAAAAGCCTTGAGAGAAGGCTAGAATTATTTCCAAAACCATCAATGAGCAAATTGATTGCTTGATGATTCCGGATACAATTTTGGACAAAAATCAATGAAATGCAATGAATAATGACCACTCCTCCCTCTTATCATGGAATGAACTCAAAGAGGGTGGCAGAGACGCTTCAAGAATCATTAATACACCATGAATTAGGGAGTCTTCACTAGAAAGAGATATTACTGGAGTGGTGGATTGGGCTTTGACCCAAGATGGATTATTTGTTAAGAAGAGTGGGTTGGGTTTTAGCCCAAACTTTGTTTTACTAGAAATGGACTTAAGCCTTAGTTTGGGTAGAGTTAATGGCCCAATTAGAATTTAGGAGCCCTCTGAAACTCACTTACCATTGTTGAATGGTGGGATGAATAAGGGAGATTCTATTTATAACCAAAAAATCATTAAGTACTTTCAATTTCTAAGTATACCCTGTTTAATTATTTAAAATTTTATTTTACTCTCATTACACCCTATTATTTTTTCCAAATTACCCTCAAGGTAAACCCAAATAATAAATAATAAACAAATCAAAAAACTAAATTATTTCAAAAACTTTTCAATACAAAAAATAATTCTCAAATACAAAAAAAAAAACAAAAAAAAAAACCCAAACTTTTAAGCACATAAGCATTATAAATATAGAAAAAAAAAATCAAACTTTTACATAACCATTATAAAACTTTTCGATACAGAAAAAAATACTTTTACATTATAAATTATCCATAAGAATGCTCGTGGAAAAGTAAAAGCTAAACTTATAAACACATAAGCATTAGGCACTAACAAGAAAGAGTAGTTATCAAATAATGTACTATTTAAATGACAAAATAAGAACAACTCTAATAATATGTTATTATTAATCTAACTACTAAGCCCTTTAATTTTTGTCAAAAAAGCGATATATAAAATAATTGATAATGCTCTACAAAAATTGTGAAACCCCTTTATATGAATACTTACCTCTTTTTTGATGGGTTGCTTCAAAAAACTATTTTGATTATTACTCTCATCCATTATTTGATTTTGTTCAAACTTTCTTCTAGAGTTTAGGGTTTCAAAATAATAACATACAATTATGTTGATGATGATGGTGAGTTTTGGTATGGTAGATTGGAGTTTTGGAGGGAGGATGAAAACAAAGAAAAAGAAGAAGAAATAACTTTGATCTCTTGGGAAAGAAGATATTGAGATTTGAATAGGAATAACTGATTAGGGTGTATGTAGCACTCCAGAATTTTTCTCTCCGCTCGAGCACAAGAGTTGATGCTCGAGTGGTCTTGTGAGGCTCCTAGTACTTTTGCAGGTCTGTTTGAGATTTTGAGAGTTGGTGATTTACACTCGAGCTCAAGAGTTGCCGCTCGAGCGAACTGTCTTATCCGTGTCTATTCGCTTGTGCGTAGTGTGACATTTTGTACTTTTGGGACTAGTGTGATTTCTCTTGACATTCTTATTATTGTGTTTGGAGCCTCCTTGTTTTATTTTGGAATATTGATCGAAGTAGTAACATAATGGCAAAGTAAGTTTGGATAAAAAACTTTGATTCGGATAATTTTCCACTCTTTTGCCCTATTCTCTTTCCACACTTTGAATTTGGATGTGAGGCTTCGATTTTGACACAAGAATGATCTAAAACGGAGTCCGAACGAGAGAGTTATGCCTGTTTTAAGTTTTGGTATTTGTGTTGGAAATAAGTGCGCTTGAGCGGATTGAGCAAATTCAGCAATTTAAAAAGTGCCTTTCCAGATTATTCTCTCCACTTTTTTTTTCTCTCTTCCCTCCTCTCATCCTAAGTCCGAAAACCCTTGGTTTCTTGACCCAAATACCTTCCATTTCTCAAAGATTTGGCCAAGATCTCTTACCAAAAAGTGAAGAATACATGAAGATCTCATTTGCTACCGATTGGATTTTTGGTTTTATGAAGGAATCTCATCAAAGCCTTGTTTCTTGTTTGATCCTTGAGGTAGGGGTTTCTAGTTCTCCTTCAATACTTTCATTTACAGATAGATTTGTGGTATTTTCTTTATATAAATACAAAATTTATATTTTTAAGCATATCATGATTAACCGTGAGATTGGAGGTTTAGGGTTTGAAGTGTTGGAGTTTATTTGTTGGGTTATGATTTTGGGGTTATGAATTTGGGTGTGTAATCAATAGAAGAGTTGGAATAAAAAGTGTTGGTGTGAAAGCTTTAATCCTTCTTAAAAACCCTAGTTTGGCTCATTAAGACGGTTGATTGTTTTGCCTAAATTGAAAGTAGAATCATGAAATTGAGGTGTTAAATTGCACATATACAAGTTTAATTGAATTTTTAAAGTGTTTGGAAATCCATGTGAAAGTTGTGATTGAATTCTTATTGTTGACGTTTTAAGTTGTGTATGACGTGAGATTGAATTTGGGTAAATGAATTGTTAATGGTATGGATGATACGAGATTTGTGATAAAATAGTAAAGTGAAGATTTAAGAATTTTATTGTGTAGTTAGAAAGTGATTTTACACCTCAAAACTAAAAGCCCTAAATTATGCTTAACCCTAGTTATGAAGTTTATTTTTGGAAAATGAAGAA